AAAAGCTATTAGTGAGCGCGTTATTTTTTTTGTTGTTGTTGTTTCTTGCCATCACAGACAATCAAAAGGTGTTTGATAAAGTGAGTCATAATAAAACAAAAACTCAAGATCGTGAGATAAATTCAAATTAGCGACAATGATTACAAAGTGATCAGAAAATGGTAAAAAATAAAACATCAGTTCAACTAACCGAGGGATGATACAATAGGCCTAAACATGATTATTAAGTCACAGACCTATTTTTAGAGATAAATTAAAACTACTTTTCACCTCTCTTTATAAAGCAATCTATATTGTACAAAAATCATATCGTTATGAAGACGTTAAAAAATTATAAAAGTCCTACCTCACGCTTGTGAAGAGATGGTGTGTTTATTGAATATTGATTGTATATCTTTTACTGAGAATATCTTCAGTTCTTCAGTTTTCGTTATGTTTGCTCAGAGCAATTTATTCCAACTGTATCTTTCTTATTTACTAAAATCATGATGGATGAAGCAAAAAAAGTGTAAGATTCAAAGTAAAAAAAAAAAATCAAGTGCTTAAAGATAGTTTCAAGGCTGCCGGATAAATTCCAGGACATTTTATCATCTTTATGTTTCAAGTTTTACACTGACTGAAATACATTATTTTGTGCAAGAATTGTCAAAATGTGACAAGGAAGATGAGAGATACGAGCACAGTGTAAACGCACACACACACTACACAAACACGTGCGTGTGTGTGTGTGTGTGTGTATGTATGTAAGTATCTATATCTTTCTATCTATCTATATGTGTATATGTGTTTATGTGTGTGTGTGCGTGTTAGTATATGTGTGTATACATACACATACACACACACTCACACACATATATGTGTGTGTGTATGTGTGTCTACATATATGTGTATATTCCAGCTTCTTAATCCAAATGCATCAGATCGCACCAACATCTCTCAAAGTAAATGAGAGAGAGAGAGAGAGAGAGAGAGAGAGAGAGAGAGAGAGAGAGAGAGAGAGAGAGAGAGAGAGAGAGAGAGAGAGAGAGAGAGAGAGAGAGGAAATAAGTTTTCCACAGGTCGACAGGCGCCCCGTAATGCCATTTTTACGTTTTTTTTTATTGTAATTAAATGGTAATACTGTAAGTTGATGCGCAACTATACCATCTTACACGGATGCTATTCAATGTTTATCGAGAAATCTCATCCCAATAAAATAGCGATTTCTTCGTGTGATCTTTTTTTTTTGTTGACTCATGCTTGTATAGCCTTCGGCAAGCCAGTAAGTTGCATGATTCCTATTTGCAGACTGAACATCAACGTGTATACACACATGCACTCGCATACACAAACACACAACACACACACACACACACACACACACACACACACACACACACACACACACACACACACACACACATACAAATAAATATGTATGTATATATGGATATTTAAATATGTATATACATACATATACTTATACATATACATATACATATGCATATACATATACATACATATAGTTATACATATACATATGCATATACATACATACATATCCACCGATTACCAACTTATCCATAAACATAACAATAGGAAAGAGTGATTGTGCACTCCCTCAAACCAGTTACACACGGAAAATACGTCAGCGGAGAGGTGCTCAGCCCGATTTTGGAGCGACCAATCAGCATTGACGTTTCTCCTGTCAAACTCCGCCCACCACCTGTCACGTGGTGTGAGTAAAAGTCCCCATTTATTAATTCATTTATTTGTTTAGGGCGGTATGAGAGACACTCCATTTACTTTCTAGGCTTAAGTGTCTCCAAAACTGCCTCTATCATGGGGAGGGGGTGTCCAGATATCGAAAAAAGATTTATTACATTTATTACATCCACATTCCAGTACATTTCACGAAAATAATCCAGTGGTCACGATGAAACACGAAAAAGTGAAGATTCGTATACCCATGTGAGAGGTAATCAATACTTACAATACAATACTTCCCTGTCTGTTACTTATAAATATATATATATATATACATATACATATATATATATAAATATATATATATATATACATATACATATATATATAAGTGTGAGTGTGTGTGTGTGTTTCTTTGTGTGTATGTGTGTGTTTCTTTGTGTGTGTGTGCGTTTGTTTGTGTGTGTTTGTTTATGTGTATGTGTGTGTTTTTGTTTGTACGTGTGTGCGTCTGTTTGTATGTGTGTTTTTTTTTGTGTGTGTGCATGCGCGCACGTGTGTGTGTGTGTGTGTGTGTGTGTGTGTGTGTGTGTGTGTGTGTGTGTGTGTGTGTGTGTGTGTGTGTGTGTGTGTGTGTGTGTGCGTGCGTGTGAGTAACGCATGGTTAAAATTTTCTATAATGCATTTTACTGAAAGAATTATCCCATCTCTCAGAACGAGACAGGGACGGCATAGTGAACGAGACGTATTGTATTTGTATCTCTCTCTCTCTATATATATATGTGTGTGTGTGTGTGTGCGTGTGTGTGTGTGTGTGTGTGTGTGTGTGTGTGTGTGTGTGTGTGTGTGTGTGTGTGTGTGTGTGTGTGTGTGTGTATGTTTATGTATATGTATATATATGTGTCTATGTACATGTATATTTATATCTTTATGCATATGTGTGTGTATGTGTAAATTAGACACACATGTTATACCGAATTGCCCTATTCTAATTTTGATCCCATTTCTTTGTAGCTGCGCGTGTGTCCCTAAAACAGGGAAATTTCCCTGTAAATATAGGCAATGTCAGCAATATAAATTTCAGCTGTCAACATCTAGCATCTCAAGGTGGAACTGAATGTATATATTCCGTGGACCGGCGACTCAGCTGTTACTTCGCGGTGGAGAAACACGTAGGTAAGTAGTATGCGTTGTTTAGCACATCCCGCATGCTACTAAGATGTGAAAATGGTGTTTGTGAAGGAATTCTTTATGATATCGATGTATTTCTTCAATTCTTTATAATTCATTTGCTACACCGCCATAGCAGAAGCAGTGCAGGTGATTTTGTGTTTCCGTTTGACAATGCGACACAGGGTACCAGCGCAAATCTACACCTCCTCTTCCCTCATTTTCACCCTTAGTCTTTTTAATTAATTTAAGATAAGGGTCTGGATAAGGAATGGAACATTGTTGTCGACCTGCACCTGCGCGATGACCGGCCGGTGTGTAAATTCTGTTGCATTCGTGAGTCATCAAGATGAATGAATGTTTGTTCTGACCCCAGGCTGCCAAACCTGCCCAATGGCAGGGGAGAACACTCCTTTCCCCCCTTCTCTCTCTCTCTCTCTATCACCACCTCCTTCTCCCCCTCCCTCTCCCTCTCCTCCTCCCTCTCCCTCTCTATCTCCTCTTCCCTCCCTTCTCCTTCTCGTTTCCCTCTCCATCTCTTCTTCTCCATCCCCTCTCCCTTCCCCTTACTCTCACAAAGTAATACACTGTTCTGTTTCCTCTCCAGAACCATGAGGGCGGTGGTGTTGGCGACGGCGCTGTCCCTTTCCTTCGGGCTGGTCAGCCCTCAGTGCATTTCCAAGGACGACTCCCTCATCCCGCCCCCGAGAACATACCTCGGCCACATCGCGCCCTTCAGTGTCGGTCTCTTGAAGGAGGTTCTTCCTGCGTCGGGGAACTTCTTCTTCTCGCCCTACAGCATCTGGACGGCGCTTGTGTTGGCCTACTTCGGGTCCAACGGCAACACGAAGACCCAGTTGGAAAGGGTCCTTCAGCTGGGCAACCGGGAAGGCGCTCTGGCCTTGTACAAAAGCGTGGATCAGTTGTAAGTTAACGCATGGTCCTATTTCAGCCAAATTTGTATATTTATATAATTTGTACGTATATATAACTATATCTATCTATTTATATAGTGTGTACATATATGCATATATATTGTATGTACACACACACACACACACACACACACACACACACACACACACACACACACACACACACACACACACACACACACACACACACACATATATATATATATGCCGCCCAGAGAGTGTCTTCAGACGGTCCACTATCAGTGTTGACTAAAAGTGAAGACAGTCAGTTCAAGGTCGAGAACACGTCCCCGCAGAGGTTCTTTGTGGGGCCGAATAGACATGCAACGGTCCCTATGATGAGCCAAGAAGGCAACTTCAATTATGGTAAAGTATTTTCACTTTCTGGATCTCTCCCTCTCCCTCTCCTCCTCCCTCTCCCTCTCTATCTCCTCTTCCCTCCCTTCTCCTTCTCGTTTCCCTCTCCATCTCTTCTTCTCCATCCCCTCTCCCTTCCCCTTACTCTCACAAAGTAATACACTGTTCTGTTTCCTCTCCAGAACCATGAGGGCGGTGGTGTTGGCGACGGCGCTGTCCCTTTCCTTCGGGCTGGTCAGCCCTCAGTGCATTTCCAAGGACGACTCCCTCATCCCGCCCCCGAGAACATACCTCGGCCACATCGCGCCCTTCAGTGTCGGTCTCTTGAAGGAGGTTCTTCCTGCGTCGGGGAACTTCTTCTTCTCGCCCTACAGCATCTGGACGGCGCTTGTGTTGGCCTACTTCAGTGTTGACTAAAAGTTAAAGAATATTTACCAAAGCTAAATTTAGTTGATTGCATTTTCTGTCTACCTATATGTATATATATACTTGTGCTCTAAACAGGTACAGGTTGCAGGAAAACAACCCCAATTACACTGTTAATGCAGCTAACAGAATATACATCCAGGATGGGTTGCCGCTGAGAGAGTGTCTTCAGACGGTTTTCTCGAACGAAATAAGAGCCGTAGATTTCCGCCAGGTATGGATGTAAATCATTTTCAGGTTTGATTTCCAATCGATTGTTAAATGCCAATAACTGATCTGCCTGATCTATATCGCAAAGAGTCAACTATTCGATCATCAACTGCCGCATCGTTACCAAATCCAAAAGTAGCTTTGCAAACAATCGGCAACCACCTCACAGCCATTCAAAAAACAGCTGCTACATAAACAGCCTACGATCAACTCACACCCACTCACCCAATCCCCAGCAACCACAAGCCGCTGCGGGGGAGATCAACAGGTTCGTCAGCGACACGACCAGAGGCAAAATTTCGCAGATAGTGTCAGCCGACAGCGTGTCAGGAGCCGTGATGGCGCTCGTCAACGCAGTCTACTTCAAGGGCCTGTGGGACAGTCAGTTCAAGGTCGAGAACACGTCCCCGCAGAGGTTCTTTGTGGGGCCGAATAGACATGCAACGGTCCCTATGATGAGCCAAGAAGGCAACTTCAATTATGGTAAAGTATTTTCACTTTCTGGATCTCTCCCTCTCCTCTCTCTCTCTCTCTCTCTCTCTCTCTCTCTCTCTCTCTCTCTCTCTCTCTCTCTCTCTCTCTCTCTCTCTCTCTCTCTCTCTCTCTCTCTCGCTATCCTTTTTGGTTTATTGCAATAGGACCTTCATCTTCCCAGATATACGTGAAAAAACGTGTCTACACATTGTTGACGCTTCTCCACACTAGAATTTGAGAATGTTAAATGTGTGTTAAGTATTTTCACTTTCTCTCTCTTTCTAACTGTCTTTCGTTATCCTTTTTGGCTTATTGCAATGGGACCTTCATATCCCCAGACGTGAAAAACATCATGTTTACACATTTTTGACCTCTCTACACACCAGAGTCCGACATTGTGGAGGTCTTTAAGTGAGAAATCGAAAGTGTTTATATTCTGCCTATTCCCTTAATTCCACACGCTGTAGAATCATAAAGGTGCTTCTCAACAACTCATTGCAGAACCTTGAATGCCTTTACTTGGAATAACTGGAAAAGGAATAACGATAAAAAAATAGAAAAAATACAAAGCAGATGTTCGATTTTTGGAAAAATGGAAATGGATATCTAAATATTTTGTCCAGGCTAATCTATTTGCTAGTAGTGAAATCTGACAGACGATATGCTGTAGTTCTAGCGTGACGCTTCGGCTGTCGTTCACACTCCTCCTCCTCAGCATTAAAGGTCGCCCTGCGCTTCCTTCCCCAGGTGAGTCACAGGAGCTGGACGCCCAGGTGCTGGAGATGCCCTACCGGGGCGGCCACGCGTCCCTGTTCGTGCTCCTTCCTCGAGACCAGGGCACGGGCCGGGAGCTCGACCAGCTGGTGCAGCGCCTCAGCCCCTCGACGCTGACGGCGGCGCTGAGGGACACTCGCGACCAAAAGGTCCAGCTCAAGTTCCCCAAGTTCAAGTTTGAGAAGAAGATCGATAGCGCGCTCCAGCAGGTATTCTCACTCCTATTGGCATTCTGTATATGTTTTCCTTATCTCTATCTTCTGCCTTTATATGTTTTTGCTTTATATAATCGCTTGAAACTTTTGATTTAATAAAAGTGTGATATAAAAAACGGTTTAAACTTCAAGTCGTGTTACCGTTCCCGACACCCAGGCTCTGGCGCGCTTGGGTGTTGCCGATTTATTCTCCGACCGAGCTGACCTCACAAACTTCAAGTCGGACGGCGGCCTCCAAGCCACGGGCATCATCCACAAGGCAGTGGTGGAAGTGGACGAAGAAGGCGCAGAAGCAGCCGCGGCCACGGTGATTTTTGTTTCGTTTTCGGCGTTATCTGTTCCACCCCCGCCCGTCCGCTTCACCTGCGACCGCCCCTTCCTCTTCCTCATCCGCGATAATGACATCGACAATATCCTCTTCATTGGGGCTTACAGAGAGCCCTAAATTGCAGCCCTCTTCTCCTTCTCCATCTTCCATTTCTTCTCCTTTTTTCTTAATCGTTTTTTTTTCTCCTTCTCGCCTTCTGCCTCTCCTTCTTCTCCATCTTCATTTTCCTCCACCTCCTGTGATGAATAAGATTGCGTTGAAATTTCTTGTGAGATTCAGCTTCTTTTCACCATTTTTCTTAAAGATGCAAGTTTGAAATTGATATAGAATTGTATATTTTTGTTTTGTTTTATTTTCTGAGAATCCTAAAGTTATAATGATGATTATGATAATAATAATGATAGTAATGATTATGACAAAACTAAAAATGATGATAATGATAACATTTATATCCGGTTACACACAACCGTTTGATAATAATGCTTTCGTCTATACAAATATAAATGCCATGTGAATATGAAGAGAAATGTAGAAACAAAACCGGGAGAGGGAACTATATATATGTGTGCGTGGGAGTTGTGTGTGTGTGTATTAGTGTTAGTGTGTGTGTATGTGTGTGTGTGTGTGTGTGTGTGTGTGTGTATTAGTGTTAGTGTGTGTGTGTGTGTGTGTGTGTGTGTGTGTGTGTGTGTGTGTGTGTGTGTGTGTGTGTGTGTGTGTGTAACCCACCTATAGCTATCATATCACTGAAATATACATTCTAATATCATTCTATGTACGTATAGTTATATTCTACATAATTTACACAATCTTACTTGTTTGTCACATACGTATCTTCACACACAAATACATATGCTTGTACGTACGGTTATTATTTAATCCGATTGATCATCCCTTCTTGCCACACTACACTTTCCAATGTTAT